AAAATGAACGGTAACCTAGGTAAAACCTTGTCGAGGAGGTTGAGTTGTTTATAGCAATACAAAATGGCAGGATATTTCACACGTTTTGCGAAGAAGAAATAGCCAAAATAGGAAGAATACAACTTGACGGACGACATTTGCAATTTGGAGAATATCTGCGGTCTAAACATCCCTTTATCTCCAGAACTTGCCTAGAAACAAATTTGGAAATGAAGACGGGAACTTAGCATCGATGAGATAAGCATGTTTCAGCTTGTTTTTAAACTAAGCCTTATTTATTTTAATTATTTTGTTGTTCCTTTCGGCCTAATCTGGCCTTGCAGCAGGTAGCACCCTCCTCGACCTCCATAATTCTTCAGATCATACTCGGCCTCATTGAATAATTGCCGCTAATTGTTTGCATGGAGGCAACCGCGCGTGAACTTAAAGACGCTTCAGATAATTAATTGCACATTGTGCAGACGTTCCAGGAAATAGCCTTCCGTTTAATTACGACCTCTAAAATTAACTTTAGGATTTCCTTTCTGTCTCATATATTCTCTCTTGGACGCAGTCATCAAGCATGACTAAATGGCTTGCCGATCGCCTTGCTTTTCATAGGATGGAATTCTTGAATTGTCCCGAAAAGTCGAATTGATGGCTCGTTCTATTAGAACAATTTGTTCTGAATAACTTTCATGTTAATTTCTGTTTCAAAGGTTTCTCTGAAATTAATTTGGCATACTTTTTATATGAATGAAAGTTGATACCAAGAAGTTTAGTCAAGTGGCAAATTTTTCACTGGAAGCGATTTTCTTTGAAAGTTAGGGAGCCCCTGAAAGGTTTCGTAGCTATCGCGTTAAAACCGAAAACGTTAGGACAAAAAATCCGTCATAGTTCAGTGCACCTTTTAAATAAACCCCGTGCATATTGCTTGCCTGAAAATTTATATACAGCTGTCTTAGTCCGCTGGAGTGGCAAATTAAAGACGTTAAACAGTTGAAACAGGTTAAATTCTCAGTTAACGTAAGGCAAATTAATACTGGCGCTTATTCTTCGATTAATGATTAATTCTCCTTGAGCCGATATCATTTAAACGAAGTCTAACTTAATAGACCACTGTTTTGGACAATCAATATGGACCTCGAGATTAATACTGTCTGTAAGGGAATTTTTTGAAAACTAATTTATAACCAGTTTTAAGCTGTCGAATAACCGGCTTTATTTTAACTTAAAACTTTTAAGGCTAGTAGTTGATGCATCTTATTGTGACGTAGTATTATTATATCAACTCGTCTTTGATTGACTCTATTTTAAAAACACTTTTTCTGGCGGCGCGGAGCATGAAATAAGCCAATAAAGTAGCACACTCCGGTCTATATGTCAAACTTTCTACTGATCACTGAAAGGTCTTGAATAGTGTTTCTATGCCAAGTCTATATGTTATATCAGATAATAAACTTGATACCTACCATCGTTGCTCCCTTTAACATGCCAAAACCTTAAGCCTGAAAAGAATGAGATGACGCTCAAGATTAGTTAAAGACTGGGAGACTACTGCTTGGCAGCGAGGAAGGTCGCCAACGGGTTCGATCCCCTGGGCCTAAGAGTTACGGACCGGCTTATATACCGTAGCCTACGTGTAGCTGCAACCTCCCTTCGACGGGGGGAGGGTACGGCTACACGTAGGCTAAATGTCCTTTTTTTGTCTGTCTAGCGTGGTTTGGATTAATAGAGCCATCTCTCCTCCACTAGAGAAAGCAAAAATGGTGTCCTCAATCACTTCGTGGTAAATACATTGACACGTAATGGAATTTAAACTTTTTCTTCTTAAATTTTTTAGTATTTCAGGGGTATCCGACTAGCAAGAAAAAACAAACACCCTAACCTGGAAATAGAAGTAAGATCATCGAAAAGATGATGTTCTCGCGAATTTTGTTTTTTCTGAGCATCGCTTTTGTCCTTGGCCGGTCACCCACTAAGCATACAGCTGTGATGAGCCAAACACGCTGCATTAACATCAAGCCAGTCTACTACTAATAAGCCGTTTGATGATGTGTCAATAAATTTGAACGTCATCCAATACCTGATTGTAACATAGAGAAAATGAAAAACAGTACGCTTTATGAGGGGGCGTTAGGGTCTATAAAAAAAAAAAAACAGAAAAACCGCTCTAACTAAAAATTACCCAAAACCGAAACACCGCGATAGATTTCGATCAAAACCGAAAACCGCATACAAAACCATCAAAACCGAAGATTTACGCAGCTCAATTCAGTTCACAAAACCCTGGTCTAGATCTCAAACGTCGGTGATATGTGCACATGATCATTCTAGGCGCTAATATATATGTCATCACAGTATCAGCTCTATCTATGGATGCTATGGTCGTAAAACAGACATATTTGTCCTAGGATCCTCCAGGAGAATTCAGCAAAGATCCTTGATTGAATAGCAATAGAGGACATTAGGGGAAATTTTGCGTCCGCAAAAAGCTCTCCAGGTGTAAACCGCCATTAAAAATCCAGAATCCCACTTTGCAGTTTGACCTGGATTGACTAAAATATAGAAACATAACCTAACATGTGACTGCACAAAGACCCACAGAGGAATCTAACGCCCAAAGTTTGTTACTTTTTTGGTCTTTAGCGGGACCTTACCAAGGAGTCATTTCAATTTGGAAGGAGGTCAAAGACAGACATGCACGGACTCTCAATGCTGTTTTTTTGGACATCAAAACTCACTATATCTACAAGCCGACTGAAACCTTTCAATATACTGACACTTTACCCCGTCCCGCCCTCCGGCTGTAAAAAGAGGTTTCATTATTAAAAAGGCAAAGCAATAAGATTGCTTAGAACAAACTCTTAAAAAAACACATTTGAAGAGTGCGGCTTGCGAACTTTAAACAACGCCTCCAAGGTCGCTTGTATCCTAAACAACATAATAGAAAGCTCGTTGTCGGAGGTCAACGTAAACTTTGACTTATATAATATCGGCGCTAAAACAAAAGCAAAGAAGTAAAGAGACACTATTGTCTTCCGTTACAACATATCACCAAGCGGTACAAGATCTTAAAAAGACATTGATGACATAAACTGGAGTCAAGGAAAATCGGCCTCCTCTGAAAACAATTTTTAAAAGACCTCCGATCATATGCTACAAAAGAGGTAAATCTCTGAAAGAAATGCTTGTAAGAGCAAAAATGTAACTTGAAGGTAGTTGATAATGCGGCAGAACCACAAAAACCACATTGGGAGCCTGTACAAGTCTGTCTTTGACTTCCTTCTAAATTAGAAAAACCAAAAAAGCACATCGGTCACCAAAATCCGAAAACCGCTTTATTTTTGCCAAAAACCGAAAACCAGATGCTAAAAACGGAAAACCCGGAAACCGCAACGCACAACAAAACCGAAAAACCGAAGTTGACGCAAAAAAATGGCAAAAACCGAAAAACCGAAAATCCCAAAGCCCCCCTCCTATATGTATGTATATATAAGGTACCCGATGATGAGAACTGTGAACGCTGTAGCAAAGTAATAATGCCACCACAAACGATGAAGTGTTACCATTAAACTTATAAAGTAATTATTTTTTACAAAAGGAATTTTCCCAAAAGATTTGTTTTTTATCACAGTTGGGATGAGAAGCTTAAGTCGGTTCAAGAATTTATAGCATACATTTGCCCAAGGCGTTAAAGTCCAGCGGCCATTTGCCTCCCTTGCGATTAGCATATGACAATCCAGGACGCATAACGAGCCATTTTAGTTCATTTCCCAGAAAACGGTCGTTGGGTGCCCCTGCCAATCTGCGGTAAGATGGTTAAAATATCCGGTCACAAATAATTCCACGTTGCGCCTGCGATTTCCAAAAAAATTGTCTCTAAAGGAAAGGAAGGAACAGTTAAAAAAGAATCAGAGAACAAAGAACACAAGCAAGATGAGTCAAGATGCTGCGTTACTTATTGGGGATAATTTATTACCAACAGCAATACCATATTCGGAATAGCGGGAAAAATTAAGTAAATCTCGCTCTATCACTTGCGCGCTCAAGTGCGATGGCACTCAAGACGAATTTTTCTCGTTTAATTTTCGTTTGTGCACATGCTGGTTATCTTGTAAACTTCACTGAAGCAGGTAAATCATTACTATCATGGCGGCAAGGTGAGTATTTATAAATCTTTAAATAAGATAAAAGTTCTAGCTATAAAAGCGAGCGGACTATTATGTCGAAGACCGTTTTCGCAAGTGAACCTCAGAAGTTGTCAATTATGAGGACCAGCTGAGTCGCTAATGAAGCCTTTAAACATCATGTATGTCATACTAATAAAGCCGAGGGGGCTCTGATGAACAATCGTTTAACTCCTAGCTATTTGTAATGAGGAATACATTTCTTTTTATCTCTGCTTACTGCGCTTTTCACAAACATGCGAATTCTGAAGTTCAAAAGCCAACTGACGATTGCGTTTTTCACTGCCGTCAATCATCTTAACGGACCTCTTAGGAAACAAAACTTTACTTTAACGGGTTCAAAGGGCCA